TCACACTGTAAAACCATCACTACTATCCATCTCCAGACTTTTCATCTTGCAAAACTGAAACATTGTACCTATTAAATATTAACACTCCATCCCCACTTCCTCCCAGTCTCTGCAAACCACTGTTCTACTTTCTGTCTCTGTGAATTTTACTCTAGGTACCTCATATAAGTGGAATCATACAGTATTTGTCTTTTTGTGACTGGCTTATTTCACTTAGTATAATGTCCTTAAGAGTGATCCATGTTGTAATAAGTAAGAAATTCCTTGATTTGTGATTTTTTTTTTTTTTTTACTTTTGCAGGTGTTTCAGGTTTCTTGTAAAGAGCATTGATTACCTAGATGAAATTCTCCCCAAATTTCTGTTTTGTTAGGGAATAAAAGGCGAGCTTCCTCAAAAGCTTTAAAAGGGTATATACCTAAAGTAATGTAGTTCATCCTACCATAAAGACACAGGTATGCAAATGTTCACCGCAGCACTATCGACAATAGCAAAGACCTATTTTTTGGAATCAACCTAAAAGCCCATCAATGGTAGATGGGATAATGAATATGTGGTATACATACAGCATGGAATACTACACAGCCATAAAAAGAATGACATTATGTCCTTTGCCACAACATGGATGGATCTGGAGACCATTATCCTAAGCAAACTAATGCAGGAACAGAAAACCAAATACAATATGTTCTCACTTAAAAGTGGGAGCTAAACAATGAGAATGCATGGACACAAAGAGAGAAATAACAGACACAAGCCTACTTGAGGGTAGAGGGTAGGAGGACGGAGAGGATCAGAAAAAAAAAAATACCTGTTGGGTACTATGCTTATTATCTGGGTGACTAAATAATCTGTATACCAAACAAACCCCTGTGGTATGCAGTTTACATAACAATCCTGTACCTGTACCCCTAAACCTAAAATAAAAAAATTTTTAAAAAGCTCTAAAAATGTCTAGTACACAACAGTGCTTATTATAGCATCATACACAAAAGCCAAAAGGAGAAAGCATCCCAGGTATCCATCAATGGATGAACAGATAAACAAAATGTGATCTATTCAGCCTTAAACGGAAGGAAATTCTGACACATGCTAGAACATGGATGAACCTTAAGGACATTATGTTAAGTGGTGATTGTTGCATAACAATATGGATGTATTTAATCGCACTGAATTATACAAGGTTTCCCTCTATTGTTCTGGCTGGAGAGCAGTGGCGTTCAATTTTAGCTCACGCAGCCTTGATCATCTGGGTTTAGGTGATCCTCCCACCTCAGCCTCCCAGGTAGCTGGGACTACAGGCATGCACCACCACGCCTGCCTAATTTTTCATATTTTTAGAGAGACAGGGTTTTGCTATGTTGCCCAGGCTGGGCTCAAGCAATTTGCCTGCCTTGGCCTCCCAAAGTGTTGGGATTACAGGGGTGAGCCACTGTGCTTGGCCTATTTTACCACAGTTTAATAATAATAAAAAAATCTTAATCCCAGCACTTTGGGAGGCCGAGGCAGACGGATTACTTGAGACCAGAAGTTTGAGACAAGCCTGGCCAACCTGGCAAAACCCTGTCTCTACTAAAAAATACAAAAATTAGCCGGATGTGGTGGTGGCCCATGCCTGTAATCCCAGCTACTCAGGAGGCTGAGGCACAAGAATCACTGGAACCTGGGAGGCAGAGGCTGCAGTGAGCCAAGATCGTGCCACTGCACTCCAGCCTGGGCGACAGACCTAGACTCTGTCTCAAAAACAAAAACAAAAACAAAACTGTATACACACATACACACAACCTATTTTTGATTACATTACTTTAGCTCTCCATAGAAATGACTTCACAAAACAATGCGATACAATATTTTTGTCTTTTTAACAAGATCAGTAAGATAGTGATTTGAAGACAATTTTGGCTGGGTGCAGTGGCTCACGCCTGTGATCCCAGCATTTTGGGAGGCTGAGGCAGGTAGATCGCTTGAGGTCAGGAGTTCAAAACCAGCCTGGCCAACATGGTGAAATCCTGCCTCTACTAAAAATATTTTTAAAAAATTAGTCAGGCGTGGTGGTGGGCACCTGTAATCCCAGCTACTTGGGAGGCTGAGGCAAGAGAATTGCTTGAACCCAGGATGTGGAGGTTGCAGTGAGCCAAGATCATGCCACGGCACTCCAGCCTGGGCAACAAGAGCAAAACTCTGTCTCAAATAAATAAATAAAAGACAATTTATGCATCTTATGTTTATGAGAGTCACTTAATTCAATTTATGGCTATTGGTGACAATGTATGTTGTACTGTTAAATGTCCAAGTGATATATTCTCCCTTGACTTTGGTTCTAGGTAAGTTTGCTTTCATGGTGAATTGCTGCCTGCTTTCTTTATAACAAGAACTCTACTTACTTTTCTGCTTTGACTGGCAGGAGCTGAGACAACTTTTATGCTGAATTGTAGGGATTAGCTGGTCAAACCTTGGAGAATCGTTAACCATCATTAAATAAATAAATTCCTGTTCCTATTTACTTTTGAACACCTTGAGTGAAGTGGCTTGGTTGGATTATAGTGTCTGAAATTGACACTGCTGGCCTTTGTGACTTTGAACCATGTTTTTCTGTCCAAAATGCCTTAACAGCGTGACTCTTTCTCTTGCTGTGCCCCATTTCTAGAAAATGATTTCCTGTATCTTTGAAGTTTCTTCAAGGTCTTTGCAAATGCATTTTATGTATGCCACATTGCTTGGGCTTTAAATTAGATCATCTCAATCATATCTTTCAAATTTGGTTTTAAAATATTCTTCCATATGTTCTCTACTGGTGTAGTATTAGATAAAACCAAAACCAAAATTTTGTTTTATTGATGTAGGTAATGCTCTCTATTTAAACACTGTAGCCCTGGTCCCTCAGTCACTAAGTTCCACATTTTGGCACTATTTTTTTAAAAAAAGCTCTTAGTTTCTTCCCTTGAATATCCAATCAGGTGTCAAATTCTTTTTTTTTTTTTTTTTTTTT